ATTTCTAATACTGGTATCCATCTAAAGAGACGCTGGAAAATTATTTTCACTTCTTTTAATCTCAGTCTCTCTTTCTATCCCCTCCTGTTTCGCTTACTGGCTGAAATGCTTCAGTAAAAACTCTAGGGAAAAATAATGAGACTTAGGAACCCTGAAATATTTTACAAACTCATCTTCACTCCAAAAGAAGAATGAAAAGCTTGAAAGATTTTAATTTGGAAAAATAATTATTTTTATTTGAAAATAATTTTTAAAATATTTGGGTTTTTTTTCGTAAGTTAAAATAATTGAAAACAAAATTTCACTGAATTAAAATAGCATATTCTAGGTCAAACAGAGGTTTTGATCACAGGTTAAAAAAAAAAATACGATTCACCAAAAATCAAGTTTCAAGTTAAGATTCAATACAGGGGTTGAATTAAAATGAAGTCTGTTCCTTACTCTTTTGCTCTTGTCTTTTCCCCACTGTAAGTACTTGCAGCTGATACAAATCCTGCAGCTTATTCATTCAAAATCTTATATAACACCCACCATGAAAATTGTCTGACTTTGCTCTTTTGCGTTATTATGGCTGCAATACTGAATGGAAAATTCTGACATAAGGTCTTCTGACCTTCACTTATCTGATTAATTCAAATGCAGTTTCCCTTTCTCTTCCTTTTCTGTATGGCATGATCCTGCCAACATGCCTTTGTTTAAAACCACAGGCATCACTTTTACTCCACTAAAATAAAGGTACTTCCTTTCCAGTGTTTCCCTCCTTATCAAAGTTTTCCTATTGGATGTATAAACAATGTATTATTTCATAAAGCTGACTGAGCATGCTTCTCCCTCATTGTGCTGCTGCCTCTGCTTCATCCTTCCCTGCCACCAGTAAAGGGCTGGATCCTTCCCTGGGGCTTGCAGAGGCTCCTCACTTTAGCTGGGCAGGTCCTTCTGGCCTAGGTCTGAGCCCCAGGCTGGGGAGCTATGGTGGAAAGAACAGAGTACAACAAATCCAGCTTTGGACATGATCAGGCTTTACAAAAGGCAAAGCTCAGGCCTTTGCCTCTTTTTGAACACTCATGGGTGCAGTATGGACAATACATCTGCCAAATCGGCCCCTGTGCTCTTGGAAGCAAAGCTTTCTGATGGGTGACAACATTGCAGCAGAGAGAACACACTATGGGGTGGTGGAGACACGTTCTCTGGGAAGAGAAGTGCTGTCTCCAGAGTTTCTTTCCATTTCTCCCCTCATAAACAGTTTGTTTGCGTTAAAACACAGTGCTGAAACTGCTATGTTAATTAGAACAAGCCACAGTCACCAAATGCAGGAGGAATTTGTGATACAAGTGTGGTTAAAATGCTTTCGCTGTAGCTCTCCCTCTGGGGAGATGTGAGTTTCAGTCGGCTTTTGTTCCCAAAGCGGGTACCTGATAAATTATAACCACTGGAATTATGCATTAGGACACGTTGGCCTCTGGGGTTTTTGTATGGATTTCTCTTTCTTTTATGGATTCACTATGTCTCTTCCTGACATTAGCAAGTAAGAAAAATTCAAGGATCACTGGACTTAAGTATGATAAGTTGATGCTGTACCAAGCATCCCCGAGCAGAGGTTTTAACCAGCAGAAGCAGAATCCTGAGAAGCAGACAGCTGTGAGCTAGGTGGGATGGGGCAAACAGCACCCACCAACCAATTGCTTGTTGCTGTGAAAACCTGAGTTCTTCCATTTAAAAGGTAATAGTGAACACAAATATGGAAAAGGGAAAAACTGGCTGGTATTTTAATGGTGTTTGGGGACCCTGTTCACTGGACATTGTGCAAGCAGAGGAGATGCCAAGGCCTGGTGTCTGTTCTGCTTCTCCCTCACTAGCCTCCTCTTCAGCTCAGGGCCTAAGGCTCCGACACTGCTGCTCACTGAGAAATTCATGTCCCTGCTTAATATAAACCTTTGTGGAAAGTAAGTCCCTACACATGCTATACAGCACAGCCCAGAGTTCCTGAGCCAGCAACTGCAGGAAGGAGTGCTCTCACCATTCTGGAATCAAACATGAGTTGGATCAGAAAGCCCTGATAGCATCACTGGCTCCCATCCTTTAGTCATGGTCAGGGCATTTAAACATTTCCTGCCCTCCCAGTGTGAATCTTGACCACGACCTTTGTGCTCTTCAGGCACCACACCACACTGATCCTCGGGCTTTGGCTCCATCAGCACTTCAGCTGGCTCAGACCAAGGCTTTTTATTTCACCATATTAGGAAGAAAGAGGCTTGGTGGGTTGCTGCTTTTCTTCCCACAGTGCACATGCTTATTCTGTAATATTGCCACACCAAAAAGCTAAATGCAAAATAGACCATGTAGAACAGCAACAACTGCTGTGGTAACCAGCTTTTCCAAACAATATCTAAGGTTCCTGTGTAATTAATGCACATTTACAACAATATTATATGTATGGAGTTTATTTGGAAAATCAGGTGAACAAAGTCTCCTGAAAACTTCATATTAGAGGCTTGTTATCTCAACCCAAATTGTGTAAAATTCGTGTAACAAGAAAGGTTAGGGAGAAGTGCCTTATTCTTATTGGTAAACATCTGAAGCTTGTTTCCAGGTGGTCTGGTACAAATCTTCTCTAATTATTCTGAGTCTGCCTATTAAAAGCTCCTGTTTGAAAGATGTCCAGCTGCTGTTTTGACCCATATACCTATGACTTTTGTCCTGGAGGAAGTGGTCTTGCCTTTATGTGATAATGGCAGTTGTCTCCCATTTCCTCCAGACAAAGCTGTTCAAAACAGTTTCAGGCAAAAAAAAAAAAAAAAAAAAAATCCTACTGAGGAAGCAAAGCATATTTCTTCACTGCTTTCAATTAATTCTTGAAGGACACTGTAAGAGCACTGATTCAGCAATCTGCCTGCCTTTCTCAGAAACAGAACTTTCTCAGAAACTTCTCTAAAGAAGCCCAGGTTGCCTGTTACCTGGGAACTCTTGCAGCAGAAAACCTCTGTTCCTGACACCTTTTTCACCCTCAAGAAGTCCTTTGTTTTGGTCTTTTTTTCTCAGTGTCTGAAGAGAAGTTTAGAACATTAAAAAAGGTTTTACTAAGCTGATTCTGTTTTTCCTACAGAAAAGTTGTAAACCAGTCCTGTTAAGTAAGCAGCAATCACAAAGTTCATGCTAAGTTTCTTTTGTTCCCTCACACACATGGGTAGTAGTGAGCTAATCTGAAATGCTGATTAAATCAAACACAGGAGGGATTTCAGATCCTGGCTTCCTCAATGGAAAAAAAAGGGGAGAGGAGTATGAACCTAAAATTACTGAGTAAAAATTATAGCAA